TAAGATGTTGGTTGAAAAAGGGAAAAAGAAAAATTCAAAAAAAGACCAGTTAAAAAAAATTAACTTTGAAAAACTAATGAATCATGGTAAAAAAGCCATGAATTCTATGTGCAGTATTCCCCTAGCGCTGGAGTTCTCCCATTCTCATTGATCGGTAAACTTGTTCTTGGCGGGCTGTTTGTGCTGATCTTCTGGGGGAGGGGCCTGTTGCCGTGGTTTCCAAATGTCTTTGCCGGACGTGGAATTGCCCCGCCCTTGCTGGTCCGGGCTAAGCAAGCTGCTCAGGTTTGCTCTCGGGAGCTTTTGTTCCCTTCAAGCTTTCCGTACGGCTTTGGAGGACGAGAGTGAAAATGGCGGCCTCCCAATCTCTGCCCCAGAGGAGCCAAAAACTCGGGCCCCGCTCCTCAGTGCACCCCCAGAGAAAAGCAGTCAGTCACTCCTGTCTCCCGGTCTCTGGCCACACTCCGTGCTCACCTGGCCTGTGACCGAGTGTTTTATCTCTGGCACCCGACCCCGTGTGGAGTCTCCAAACCCAGCAGTTCCCTGCAGTGCGCTCTCATGCTGCTCCTCCCGGAGGAGGAAGGGGAGTCTCCCCGGATCTGCCACTTGTTGGGTCCTTGCTGGAAGAGTAGTGGCCCGACTGTGCCGCGGATCACGGTTTATGGCAACCCCAAGCTGACAGCCCGCGCCTTGGCTCCATCTCTGCAGCAGGCTTCCCTGCTCCGATACCTGGGAGCTCTGTCTCACTCAGGCACCCCCGTCTTTCAGTGACCCCGAGGGTCCTCAGTCCACACGGTCCTGTGAGGGTTCCACCCCCCACTTAGCCACTGGAGTGATGTCCCTCAGCAGAGCCAACTTCTAAAAGTTCTGATTTTGTGCTCCGCGGCTCTATCACTTGCCAGAAGTGGCCGACAGAGGCCCCTTCCCCCGCCATCTATCCTCCCAATAATTGCCTCGGATTCACTTCTCCGCACGTCCTACCTTCCAGAAAGTGGTTGCTTTTCTGTCTTTTCACCATTATTTTGCAGGTTATTTTAATGGAGGGTAGCATTCAAGCTTGGCAATTATTTTCTCTCAGTAGTTTGAAGATATCATTCAATTGTCAACTGGCTTCCATTATTCTTTTGAGAAGAGAGCTGTCAGTTCCATTTCCCTCTGGGTATTTTAATATTTTTTCTTTCCTTCTTTCTGTGTTTCTCTCTTTCTTTCTTTTGTAATTTAACTGTGATATCTTTAGATGTAGTTTTCTTTTTACCTTTTCAACCAGGGTTTGTAGGCCTATACAAGTTTGTAGTTTGATGTTGTTCATAATATTTGAAAAATTCCCAACCATCAACTTTTCAAATATTGCTTAAAATTTCTCAACTCTTTCTGGCGTTCATAATATTTCCTCTATCTCTTACTTTTTTCTCTATATTTCATCCCTTTTTCTTCCATGATTCAGACTGATAATTTTCTTTTGACCTATCATTTAGTTCATTAATTCTCTCTCTGTTGTCATTAAAATGGTCAATTAAATTCTGAATTTCAAGTAATGTATTTTACAATTCTAGAATTTCCTTTTTTCTCCATCTTTACTATTTGCTGTCCTTTGCAAGAGTTCTCAAACTTTTTTATTCCAATAAATGTATCTGGCATTTTTTAAAATGTCTAACTATGATAACACTGTAGTATGGATCTTTTCTGAATCTTTTCCAATTGTGTATTGTTGTTCTTTGCCTTTACCCACATTATTGTATCTCTTCATAGGTCTGGGTGTTTTGGTTGAGTGTCAGACATGTTATATGACATTGTGGAAATAATGTAAGGCATAATATGATATTACCTTCCTCCATAGGTTTTTTACATTTAATTCTTATAGGTAGCAATCCCAGAGTCTCTAGTGTAATAATAGAGATTGAAACAGAGGTGATTTGAAGCTGGACTTAAGTCCCTATATGAGCTCTCTTGTTACTGTTTCTAATTGTATATAGTTGAGTCACAACCCAAAAAGGACATTGGGTTAAGGACAGTACTAAAGCTCCCATCCCATCTCTCCCTAACCCATAGTCTAATGAAATTGTC